TATATTTCTTTTTTCATGAAGAAGTTGAAATACTGAGAAACATGTGCTTCAAGTGCCTAGTCCACTTGTGATGGAATGCTTTATGAGCCTTTGGCATTGGTCATTACTGTCACAGGGCCCTATAGTTAACTGGAACGGTATCAGGGATATGGGGTTTGTTGAAATTTTCCTGTGGTTTTAAATGATAAAGGGGATCCTGAATTTAATTATTGAAATAGCCTAGTTAGTTGCCAAATTCCCGGGTTTTGCTGTATTACAGAAAAGGATGACCTTGTGGTATGTTATGGGCTATGGAATTAGGAAAAAGGAAGGTACAGCTCTCCCTTGCAAGTTCAGTTTATGGATAGAGCTTTAAAAAAAACTGCCATCAGCTTGGGGATCATGGAGCTGTAAACATGATGGTATTGCTTTTAGGTGAAGTAAGCTGCCAGCAGCAGTAGTTGAACTCTGATTTCAAAATATGGGACTTTTGAGGCATTCTTTTTCAAAATTTAGTTAATGTTATGTATCAGACACTGTGTTCAGTCCATTGAAGATAAAAAAACAAAACAAGAAGAGATCGCTAATTGTGTTGTATAAGAATAGCCCGAATAGTCCAAGATGTTTAACTTTTTTTTTTTTAAGTCAGTGTGTTAGGGAGGAGGAAGTGCAGTTCTTCTGGTTACAATTATGAAATGATAGATTATAATTCTCGAAATACAGGTTGGCCTTGGAGTGTTGGGGCTGGGTTGATTCCTAACTGTCCAACCTTGGAAAACATTGCCTGTATGTAGGCAAGCTAAGGGGATGAAGAAACCCACCCTTAGTAACAGTTGCCTGTCAGGCAGAAGAGAAGCTGGGCAGAGGCGACTTGAGGAAGGAGCTGGCAGGTTGGAGAACAGGAAGGAGTGAGAGTTTCGAGCAGGTGGGAACAGGAGCCAGCAAGAGACTGACAGGGAGAGGTAGGATAAGCAAGCAGTATCCTCTGTGGAGGTGCCAGAGGAACTTGTAGACCTCAGGCAGCTGGAATGAGCCTTGGAAGAGAAAAGCACAAACCTGATTTTGGAAGGAGCTGCAAATTACTGGTATTGGCGATGGAGAGTTCGTGAAAAGGACAGAAAAGGAGAGAGAGCAGCTAACTTAGACTAGGCCTGAAGAGGCAGGCTGGCCCTAGACAGTGGTGGTGAACCTATGGCACGGGTACCACAGCAGGCTATTTTAATCATTGAAAGCTCTAAAAGGTTCACCATCACTAGCTAGACTCTCATTCCACTTCTTTGCTAAACCAATTCAGTCTTTAAGAGGAGGCAGCTTAACTGAATAGGAGTGTAGATGGCGCTTGAGTGCTTTTCTCAGCTCTTGCTTACTACCTGTTGAGCTTGGGTGGATTAGTCACCTTTTAAAATACGGCTTTTCAGGGGCTGGGGATTTAGCTCAGCAGTTCGGTGGCCTGCCTTGCAAGAGCAAGGACCCGAGTTCAATCCCCGGTACCCCCCCAAAAAAATACAGCTTTTCATCTGCAGAATGGAGTAATATAGATGTCATAGGGTTACTTCAAAGATTAAAATACTTAATGTAGTGGCTCATATGAAATATCCCAGCATTTTTATCTTTTAAATGGGTGCTGGCCTTTGAAAGGTCAAGAGGTAAAGAAAGACCAGTTAGATTTTCTCAGACCGCCACTGGGAGTGGGGTGCCTCCTTGTCAAGAGAAGCTGTGAGGGAGCTGGTTGGATTAGTGCAGATAGATAGGGGTGTGGGGGGCACCTGGAGGAGGGAATTGAGTTTCAAGCGGTTCATCAGGGAAGTGTGGGTATGGAATATTGTCAGTGATGAAAGGTGGTTGGGGACTGTGGGTTTAGAACATTGTCCACGGTGTTGATGAAGTGAAAACAATGTCAAGGGGAATTTAATAAATTGGATATGGTAAGAGTTAGCATCTTTTATCAACTTAACATTCATATTTATATTGTGTATTTACAGAATTCGGAATGGGTCCCCAACAAATCAGATCTCTAAGCTTAGTTTGAAACCTAAGAGAGAAGTCTTGTTCTTTGCAAACTGATTAAACTAGATCATGTTATAAATTTAGTCTGATGGGGGAGGAACATGTAAGGCAGGGGAGTAAATGGGATGAATGTGATCAAAATGCACACATTGAACCCCAGTGTTCTATAAAATTCATATGCACTGATAATAAAAGCAAAAAAAGAAAAAAAGTCTAGTGTTAGCAAAATGCCTAGGTGAGGCTAGAGTAGTATAAGGCCAAATTGATGTCAGAAGCCCAACGTCAGTATCACTAGATTTAAAAAATTTTATTACTGATTTATGTGTGCTGCCTTGACTCACGCCTTTCCCAGGTTTATCCTGAATATGAAGAAGTAGAATACAAATTGGTTCCTTAGCTTATGAATATTTAAGCCATAAATGCTGGAGTATGTTCTGGATTTAATAGCTTAAAAGCAAAGCAGCAAGGTTCTTTACTGCACCCCTACATTTTTCTTCCCTAGGGATTAGAGACAATGTTGCCCCAGGCTGTCTGTGGGATCATATGGCCCCATGTGTCCAGGGTACATCCACCTTCTGCTTATTATCCTGGGGTATTTTTATTTTTGGTGGTACTGGAAATCAAACTGGGGCTCCTGTGCTTGCAAGTCAGGCAGCAGAACCACTGAGCCAAATCCCCAGCCCGTCCTGCGGCAATGTTTAACAGTGACCCCCTTTTCAGTTTAACAGTTTACATTTTTGGATTATAGATCATACAGTCACCTTATCTAGAGGGGATGTTGGACTAAGTCTGCTTAGGCTGGGGGATGATCTCTTCCTCTGCTATGTGCACCATACACAGACACGCACCAGAGAGATCTGTTGGGATGATTTGGATACAAAATGTCCTGTTTAAAGCAAGCATTTTTTTGTCTTTCCATGTAAATGATGTATGGTACCAACCTACTTAGTGGAGTAGATGGGAGAATTTCTTGAGATATTTGTACACTTGGCACAGTGCTCAATACATAGCATTCTGTGACTGCTGGCGACCAGTATTGTAATTGGTAGCATGGGCAGTGTTACCAATAAAATATGCCAAAGCCGGGTGGTTCATTCTTTCAGAATAAAACTTAACTACTCACTGGTGGCCTCTTGCAAAGAAAATTGTCAGACATTCTTTTACACTAAGGCAACGTGGAAAGTAAAGTGGGTTGCTTTCAAAAGGGTTAAATAATCGAGCAACTCTAAAACCTCTTTTCTTCTTCCTAGGTCTTAGTGGTGCAATGGCTAGTATAAGCGTGCGTTCGAGTACCCCAGGCTCTCCTACACATGTAAGCAGTGGATCGAATGCTAGTCGAAGGAGAAATGGACTCCATGATGTCGATTTGAACACTTTCATATCAGAAGAAATGGCACTCCACTTGGACAATGGTGGAACTAGAAAGCGTACCTCAGCCCAGTGTGGCGATGTCATTACAGACTCACCAACCCATAAACGCAACAGAATGATCTAAACTGCAAACATTTTCACACCCACCATGCTGCTTGAAAGCCTCTTGATCCTCAACATATACTATTATTGCAAAGGAAACATGAGGCCATCATCCCTTGTTCACTGTTTAAGACAAGTGAATTCTATAGTGGTTGCCATAAAAGGAAATTCTAGGGATTTACAGTAGATGCCTCTTGTAACTATGGCTTCCTCAAAACTATAATCCTAGCAGAGGACATCAGATATCGTGTAGTCATTAGCGAGATCATCATAGGCAAACATATATCCGTTCCAAGGCTAAAAGTGACCTTAACTGTATTTATTCTCAAAGGGAAAGGAAATAATCAGATTTTTATTTGGTTATAGAATGCTTTTTTTTTCCTGGTCCATTTCCTGCTGTGTTGAGAATTTTGCTTGAACAGTATTGCCAGGTTCCTGAAATTGTCTAAAAAAACATGATTTGGCTCCCTTGTCAAATCTGCAGGCTTCTATTTTTGCAGCCACACTGTACCATGCACCTGATTTCTATTTAGTAACAGTGTGCAACTTCTAATTATCAGACTGTGCCCTGTTTTTAGTTTTCAAAGCAGTTTCTAATTTTGGTGATTGTGTGATGTAAAGAGGTGCTATGATGGTCATGCGATTAATACTTAATATTGAAACAATACACAGAACTTTATTGGATTCACTTTGTGTGTGTTTGTGCTCTAAAAATAGCAATATTATTAAACGGCCCCCAAGTTAATCCTGTAGGCTTCAAATACTCAATTTTAAGACAAATACTACTTTCCGAGGTACTTTCCTTACGGTCAATGTAAACATGTAGACTGCATTCAAGGTGACCTAAAAGAGGTCCTGACCTTTGAGAACAAACGGGCTCCTGCACTCTGATTCAGTATTAGGGAGATGGATGGCGGTAGGTATTCTAGTCCTTCATGTCCTGTGTTACATTTTTCATGGTTGCCCAACTTTGTGCAGTTTTCCTTGTGGGTGGACGATGATAAACCTCTGTTTTATCAACTAATAATGTGATCACAAATAGCAAAACCTTAATTATTCCTGTCCCTCCATTCCCTCTCCTAAGAAGTGGTTTGGGATCTCATTCTAAAAAGGATGAAGTCGCATGGAGGTTCTCTAGATGTTAGGTAGACCTAAATAAAAGTTCTCAATAGAGTCCTCTTTGAGTAAGATATAAGACCTCTGTAGCTACAACTTTTTAGAGCATGTTTCATCTCATTTTTAATATCTTGAATGATAGTCTTTTTTAGATGAAGAACTGATGTCAGCCTGCCAGGTACTGTAATTTATTCTATCCTATTATTATATATCAAGTAGGACAGTGAAAAATGTTTCCTTGCAAACCTGTAGCCCAGTATCAGTTACTTCCTATTTTTATCCTTAAATGACCATTGCAAATCAGTGTAAGGGTTTTTCCAGTAATTACAGCACTTTGTTAAAGTTTGCAATTTCTTCAGCTATTTAATAATATCTTTCTGTGAAGAAACTTTGCTAAGTTAACCATTATTAACTGGGTGGGATGTGAATGGAATGTTAGAAATGTGTGAATTGAAGTTCTGTATTCTTTATAGATATAGCCCTTATTTAAAACAGTGAAATCCATATTCAAACTAGGAATGAAAGTGAGGTATTTCTAAATTTTTGCAAAAGTGGATTTTTTTGTTTGTTTGAATATAATAGCAGGAAGAATTATAGCAATCTGTCATTTTACCTGAAATGGGCAAGCCTATGTATTATGAGTATTTTCCAGCTTCCCTTTGGAATATACCAAGAAATGCACTTGGAGTTAATCATTGCTTTTCTGTCATTGTAAATTTAGATTTTGGAATTGGGTTTGGTGGTGTGATGCGTTGCACACGAGAGACCAGAACTCCTCTTCCTACAGGATTTTGAGATGGAGGAACACATATTTAATCTCCCCTTTCTGCCTTGGTTCTAGTTCCTCTTTCCAAGTTGAATAACAATATTTTTGGTTGTTTTGTTTTAGTTGGTGCTCTGAAGCTTAATCTTAATACCCTTTAATCTCAATTGTCAAATTTTGATAAAACACGTGCCATTTTCTTTGGTAAGAGAAAGCAGGTCTTAACGTCTGCCAGAATACAATTTATATGCCTTATTGGCTCCATTAAACTTTTTAAAAACTTTAGCATTTGTTACTTTTTTCCATTGCATTGAATCTCAAATGCTACTTGTCACGTAATCCTAACCTCCTCTCTCTCCTCTGACCCATTGCTCTCTCATGTGTCCCCAGAGACAAAGGGAAGTGATTTCTAATTGTAGGAAAATGTAGTTTTTTGGAAAAACTTTTCTGTGTGCCAGTTTAGATGTGAAACAAATCATAGAAGATTGCATACCTGTGTGGTACTTGAAAAGTAACATTTTTCAGTCTCTTGAGGACAGTGTAGGTGAACGTACAAACCTAGCAGTTTAGTTTGCGGGGAGCAGAACCTCTTAGTCTTAAGATGGAGTCTGATTCTTTCAGACTGCTCCTCGGTTCTGTTTCTGTTACCTCTACCTTGACACAAGCAGGTTGAATTCATCTGTACACTGTTCTGAGCGTGGCTGAAATACTAAAAACGATTATATTGCCTAGTATTCTACAGAGCAAAATTAATGGGGACAGTATTTGGCTAAATTTAAAGATACAAAGTCAAATTCTTCCATGTGGCTTACCCAGGTGAAGTAGTGATTACACATCTTAAATCATAAAATGAATAAATCATTAAAAAAAAAAAACAAAAAATGATGGGGCTTGTCTGCAGTTTTGTTTTGGTCATTATATCTAAATAATTTTGTCTTTTTTGGTGCTAGGGGTTGAGTCCAGGCCCTCGGGTGAGCTAGGCGAGCACTTGCACTTCACCACTGAGCTGCACCCTCCACCCAGTAACTTTTTGATGAAGTAAATATCAAATGAAGTTTAGGTTTTTGAAAAACAGACTTCTTGTTTTTTTCCCTAGGGTTATTAGAACTCATTCAGTTTGTGTAATTGTGACCATGGACCTCAAGGTTTTCCTTCAGCAGTGCTTATATTAAGGGGATGGTACCATCTGACCAAGGTGAGGATACCAAGAGATGATTTTGAAATAGGCCCTTTAGCTGGGGATATGAACCACACAGTTAATTTTAGGAAATTATTACCAATGTGAATCATCATAGTTTTTGCCCGACTGTATTTATTGCCTGCAATTTTTGAGTTTCGTCGTAGTGATTGTTAGCAGATTAATCTCACGGGATTTTATTTCATATAGTTACCACCTGGCTCTTCATCCATTAGCTTGATTACTGAGCTGTCTGGGGTGTGGTGAGGTTGGGAATCTTTCTGCAGAGGTATATTTTGCTTGGAATGAAGCGCCCTGAAGCAGCCTGCCACAGGAAGCCCATGTTCAAATTACTTGACCAAAGGGGTTCTAATCAGATGTGTACAGCACCTGTTTTCATCTCCCTTTTTGGAAGCTGTCCCAACTTTGACCTTACCCATAAAGGTAGCTTTCAAACTCCAGTCTGCAACATTGGCAGTGGGGACATTTGAGAGACAGGCCTACACTCTTGGGCCCGTGTCAGGCATACTATATTGGAACACAGATGAGAGATTCTGGGCTGGACCTATGAGGGACCTGCTTGTTCTTTGGGAAGTACAGTAGAGATCAGTTTGTGACATGAGTGAGCTTTGAAAGTTTTGAGGCTCTTAGCAAAAGTTACTTTGGGGAGTTTCTTGGTGCTTTTCCAAGTTTCCAGTGGCCCCCATTTTGTTGGCATTGATTTAGTGCCTTAAAGATTTAAAACTGCAAAATTCCAACCACATTACAGTTTATGCTGTGAAGTTCTGTATGCATTAGAGTATGGTGAATTTGACTGACTAGCATTCCTTTGGTAGATGGGCCTTTATTTAATTAAATCCTTGTTTTTTATAATCAGTAGTTAAGTAGTGCAGTGGTGACTTTTTCTTACAGGATAATTTTCTTTAGATGAAATAGCTGGTATAAAGGAGTTCATATTTAAAATACTGATAGGTCCTACCAGACTACCTCCTGCAAGGAACCAGTTAATACTTCCATGGTTGTGCCAGGTGTGCTGGCGCATGCTTGTAATCACAGCACTTTGGAGACTGAGGCAGGAGGATTGCCACAAGTTTGAGGTCAGTCTGGGCTATACAGTGAGTTCAAGGCTGACCTGGGCTACTAGTGAGACCTGTCTCAAAAATCAAGAATAAAACACCCCCCACAAACAACAAAACCCCCCCACAACACTTCCATCATTGTAAGAGCACCTGTCCGACTGCAGCTTAGCCTGTGCTGGGTATAATGTTTCCTCAGAAGTGATTGTTGTGACTTTAATTTGCTTTTTGCTTTCTTATAGGAAGGAAGCTGTTTTTCTTACACAAGGGTCTGAATGCTAGCTCCATCACTAGGTAATGATAATCAGAGTAAGTTTGCCTCTCTGAGCTCAGTTCCATCATCTGTAAAAGAGGTATAGAAAAAAAGATGTGAGCCTTTAGTAGCAGGAATCAGTTGAAAGTTGGATATCCCTTCCTATGAGTGGAGCAAACCTGAGAGAATTATAGAATGTGACTGAGAGTTTATTTCAATAATGTGCCATCGAAAAATTAACACTTGGATTTTTGTGAAGAAAATGAAAATGTCAGACATTAGCGTAAAGGTCCTTTTAACCTGCTCCCCTCCTCTCCCTTCCCCTCCCCTCTTCTCCCTGGCAGAAACTGAATATTTGGACAGTAACCTTTCAAACCATATTCTATACATTTATGTCTTTTCATATATGTAGCTATTGAAATAGGCTACTTGGTTGGTGGTTATGTAGGAGTTAAGTGTTGAATAAAGCACTTCAGTATCAAAAGTCATCGTGGGAGACTGGAACTTAGGAGCTCTAGTCTTCAAAACTGCCTTCACTGTGTCTTGGGGGCTGTTTGAAAGTGGCAGTGGGTGGGCAGCAAACGAGAAGCTCGTGTGTGCTGCAGAGTAGCTAGACTGTAGAGCACGGGCTGTGTACTGCTGAGTGGGATCTCAGATTGAGCTCAGGCTCCCTAGGAGATGTCACAGGTGGGCAAGTCCGAACTGCCCTGCCCTACTTGTTTGTCCTTCGTCTCAGGAGGGGAGCCATGGGCTCTGACCAAGTCGTGCTGTTGGTGGGTTGGCTGTGTGCTGCCACCCCAGCAGCAAACAGGTTTTCTTGTTACCTGAAAACCTTCACTGGTTCGTGAGGGCTGAGGCATTCCTTTGCATCAGTTCTGGCAGGCACCAAAGTGTAGAGAACTCTGATCATTTATGGAACTGCCTTGGCGATTTTCAGGAGGCCTGGGGTTTATCCAGCTTCTGTTACCAGAAGAGTTCTGAAGGTTGAGAGTGGAATTTCGCAGCCTGACCCAGAAAGAAGGGCTTGGAGTACTTGGCCTGCTTTTAGCATCCGCAGGACCCCGTGGAGTCATAACTCAGAGTCCTCTTAAGTCCACCAAGGTGTGTGCCATTTGTAAGTTGGAGCTTTGAGGAACGGTTCTCAGACTGTTCCTATGTATTTCTTAGGAATGGTATCCAGGGTGGAAATCCTGGAGGAGAGGATCCCTTGTCAAACTGTCCATGAGCTTGGAAGGCTGATCGAGCTTTCCCAGACTCTCCTCCCTCAAGGTGAATCTCAAGATCACAGTGGTGGTGTTAATTTCAGGGTGCATCTAATGCTTGTAACCACCAAGGTTTTTTTTTTCTTTTTTTTTTTTGGCACTGGGGATCAAACTCAGGGCCTTGCGCTTGTGAGGCAGGCATGGAATCACTGAGCTAAATCCCTAGCCCTAAGGGGTTTTGATTTGCTGTTTAGGGCCACTCAGGCTAGTATAAATGTTGTGTAAAACTGTTTTCACACAAGTACCTGTGGTTTATGAGATCTTGCCTCTGCCCATCTTGGGGTTTCTCACACATTTTGGATGCTGATCTATGAATAACTTCCACGGAGACCTTGTGAATGTATGCACACAAACACAAAACTGAATCAAGGAAAAGTCTCCACAGTTCCTACTTGCCTATGATGTAGTCCATTTTATGATTTCTTGGCGTTTTAGTAAACATACTGTGTGTGACCATGTTCATCTCACTACCTTGAAAACCTGGGCTCCGAACTTAAGCTTCAATAAACAGGGTAGGTATTTGTGTTTCTTGAATGAACATAAAGAGGCTGGAAGTTTTCTAGGTTTTCACAAAATCCCCTTTTTCCCCTCCACCTTGGGGCTTAGTCTGAGGAATAAGGATGTGGTGGGGATGAGAGGTAACATGAGAATTCTAGTTCACCACTGTTGCCTGCCTCCCCAGCCCTGCCTCA